GTGCAAAATGGATTGCTTTTTCCCGCTGATTGTTTGTTTCTGTCGTACTGTATTGTGAAGGGGTGGCATTTGAGATGTTCAAATTGCAATGAAGGCTCTGTAAATTGCTTTGAAAGACAATACATATTTTGGAAGATAAGTGTTGAAAATGTGCAACTCCCCATACTGAGAACAATCAGTTCTGGTGGGATAGCTTTCAACTCTTTTTTTACCATTTCAGTTTTCCAGCGATGAACTTGGGCATCCGGCTTCGGTACCTTCTTTCATATTCGTGGTCATCCGGCGCAATTAGACGATAGTTATGGCTTTGCCCAAGCCTGTTAGCTCTTGAGCTAGCATGTAAACAACTTTAAGTGGATATATTTTCGTGTCTGCAACATGTTTGGATTAAGAGACAAATTAGCATCCATTTTTCAGCGCCGCATGTTTTCAAACCTTGAGCAGACACGCCTACAGCATTTGAGAGCAGAGGCAATGGCTTGATTCTTTTTTTTTTTTTTTTGCCCCACAATTTTGAAGCCTCATTTTAACGTTTTTTTGTTTGTTTGTTTTTTTTTTAAATCATTCAAATTTGGGACGCCTTTCTGTATCGTGTGTCGAATTACCCAGCCATTTCCTTTCACTTTACAGGGACTTTCTGTTTTGGTGCATATCAGATTATGACTGCCAAAGTGGACGTTGCTAATTGCAGAAACTGAGACGACCACAACGTGGTCAAACAAACACAATGCGGAGTTGGCGGTGGTCTCTTCTCTTAAGTGCTTTTCTGGTTTGAAACGTGTAATGAAATGGCACGCTCGTCAACAAATTCCCACCTGGGAAAACGCCTGCACGCAAGCACGGCCGCATTTTTATCCAAAGCCTGAAAAAATGTCTTCATGAAAGCACGTGCAATGAGCAGCACTGAAGGTTTTAATGGAAAGGATGTTTTCATTCCTCAGAGACACACGCCTCTGTCTCACTGCCTCTCTGCCCAATTGACACAACAGAGAAAAAAAAAAACAGTGGAGCCGGCATTTCTCCGCTTGCGCCTTTCTGACACAATTGAGCAACGTGGCACGGTGCCGGGCCTATGAGTTGACGCGTCTGTTGCGGCTCCACACATTCAGATAATTAGATGTGCGGTGACGGTGTTAAATTCCACACTCTGGATGTGGCTTCTCATTTCCATTTGTGTTCCTACGTCGGAAGCCGGCAATTTTGCTAATTAATTTCCACTCGCTATTCCACAATGGTGCCTTACACACAGGATGCAAAAACAGCGATAAAGCTGACTTTGATGGGTAGTCCAAAATGCGAACATAACATTTGTTTGCTGTCATGAAATATATTTACTACGCCGGCTTCTTGGAATGCAGCACAGGATGCTGCGAAAATGTTGCAAAGCGCTGTACAGTATCCTTTTTCTCGAGGAGAGCGGATGTTTGTTTATGTGCCCTGCAATTAGCCGGCATCCAATTCAGGGTGACCAGGCCTTTTTTCCCCAAAGTCAGCTGGGATAGTTTCCAGAACACCGGTGACCCCAATATAAGAGGTTCAAAAATCGAAGGGATAATTTTGTAGTTAATTTTCTGGCTTTCCGTCAGCCTGTGCGTGATCATTTATTTGTTTGCACGCAACTTTGCTAGCCGCAGTCTTGGACGCGTCCAGTTAGATCTGACAAATGATTCACAATGGAAAAGCCAATCGCTTGTAATGAGCACTATCACCCAGATACCAAAGAAGTTAGAATGATTAATGTTAGACACGGTTATGTCAAAGCACGTCCAAGTGAAATTGGCAGAATTTCTAATGCAATGTGGAGAATTAGATCAAATGTGTTGTGAAGCTTACGCCGCTCTTCGGATCAGGTTGTTGTGCTTGAATATATGATCCTATTACACTCAGTTCCCTTCAATCCGGAGGAAATTCGGCATCTGCGTGAATGGTTATTTTAGATGCCTTCCGTCTTAAATCGGCATTCGCTGATTTCATAGGCGGCAAGGTTTTAGCCTCAATATCTTAAATAGGCGTTTCTTACGTTTCCTTGATCAACTATGGGATTACCTTGAGGATATGAATTATTTTGTACACTCTGTGTTGGGTCCCCGCCTCCCGCTTCTCGGAATGTTCTGAACTCCTGTTTTCAAAGTGTCATAAGTGAGTTGTTTTGTCGAATGACCCCTAACAAGTTGACACTTAATCTCGGTTCGGTTTTAGTTTCTGCTGATGGAATTTTTCAAATCAAGACAAAATGTGCTTGTTGTTTGTCTGCCAAGAGATTTTTTCCTGTCAAGATCATTTATGTAGGAGAAAGCATTTCTTTGCAGTGAAAATCCTAATTGGGTATTAAAACTTGAGTGCATTCAGCCTAAACTAAGGAATGCCGCAAATCTCAATGTGTAGGCAATATTTGTATATTAAGTACACGAGTACAAACATTTTAAGACATCAGTGGAAGTTTTGTAGGCTTGCTATATTTGCTTGCTTTCAGAAATCTTGCCGGGGGACATTTTTGGGTTGATAGTTATGGCTTTGCCCAAGCCTGTTAGCTCTTGAGCTAGCATGTAAACAACTTTAAGTGGATATATTTTCGTGTCTGCAACATGTTTGGATTAAGAGACAAATTAGCATCCATTTTTCAGCGCCGCATGTTTTCAAACCTTGAGCAGACACGCCTACAGCATTTGAGAGCAGAGGCAATGGCTTGATTCTTTTTTTTTTTTTTTTTGCCCCACAATTTTGAAGCCTCATTTTAACGTTTTTTTGTTTGTTTGTTTTTTTTTTAAATCATTCAAATTTGGGACGCCTTTCTGTATCGTGTGTCGAATTAACCAGCCATTTCCTTTCACTTTACAGGGACTTTCTGTTTTGGTGCATATCAGATTATGACTGCCAAAGTGGACGTTGCTAATTGCAGAAACTGAGACGACCACAACGTGGTCAAACAAACACAATGCGGAGTTGGCGGTGGTCTCTTCTCTTAAGTGCTTTTCTGGTTTGAAACGTGTAATGAAATGGCACGCTCGTCAACAAATTCCCACCTGGGAAAACGCCTGCACGCAAGCACGGCCGCATTTTTATCCAAAGCCTGAAAAAATGTCTTCATGAAAGCACGTGCAATGAGCAGCACTGAAGGTTTTAATGGAAAGGATGTTTTCATTCCTCAGAGACACACGCCTCTGTCTCACTGCCTCTCTGCCCAATTGACACAACAGAGAAAAAAAAAAACAGTGGAGCCGGCATTTCTCCGCTTGCGCCTTTCTGACACAATTGAGCAACGTGGCACGGTGCCGGGCCTATGAGTTGACGCGTCTGTTGCGGCTCCACACATTCAGATAATTAGATGTGCGGTGACGGTGTTAAATTCCACACTCTGGATGTGGCTTCTCATTTCCATTTGTGTTCCTACGTCGGAAGCCGGCAATTTTGCTAATTAATTTCCACTCGCTATTCCACAATGGTGCCTTACACACAGGATGCAAAAACAGCGATAAAGCTGACTTTGATGGGTAGTCCAAAATGCGAACATAACATTTGTTTGCTGTCATGAAATATATTTACTACGCCGGCTTCTTGGAATGCAGCACAGGATGCTGCGAAAATGTTGCAAAGCGCTGTACAGTATCCTTTTTCTCGAGGAGAGCGGATGTTTGTTTATGTGCCCTGCAATTAGCCGGCATCCAATTCAGGGTGACCAGGCCTTTTTTCCCCAAAGTCAGCTGGGATAGTTTCCAGAACACCGGTGACCCCAATATAAGAGGTTCAAAAATCGAAGGGATAATTTTGTAGTTAATTTTCTGGCTTTCCGTCAGCCTGTGCGTGATCATTTATTTGTTTGCACGCAACTTTGCTAGCCGCAGTCTTGGACGCGTCCAGTTAGATCTGACAAATGATTCACAATGGAAAAGCCAATCGCTTGTAATGAGCACTATCACCCAGATACCAAAGAAGTTAGAATGATTAATGTTAGACACGGTTATGTCAAAGCACGTCCAAGTGAAATTGGCAGAATTTCTAATGCAATGTGGAGAATTAGATCAAATGTGTTGTGAAGCTTACGCCGCTCTTCGGATCAGGTTGTTGTGCTTGAATATATGATCCTATTACACTCAGTTCCCTTCAATCCGGAGGAAATTCGGCATCTGCGTGAATGGTTATTTTAGATGCCTTCCGTCTTAAATCGGCATTCGCTGATTTCATAGGCGGCAAGGTTTTAGCCTCAATATCTTAAATAGGCGTTTCTTACGTTTCCTTGATCAACTATGGGATTACCTTGAGGATATGAATTATTTTGTACACTCTGTGTTGGGTCCCCGCCTCCCGCTTCTCGGAATGTTCTGAACTCCTGTTTTCAAAGTGTCATAAGTGAGTTGTTTTGTCGAATGACCCCTAACAAGTTGACACTTAATCTCGGTTCGGTTTTAGTTTCTGCTGATGGAATTTTTCAAATCAAGACAAAATGTGCTTGTTGTTTGTCTGCCAAGAGATTTTTTCCTGTCAAGATCATTTATGTAGGAGAAAGCATTTCTTTGCAGTGAAAATCCTAATTGGGTATTAAAACTTGAGTGCATTCAGCCTAAACTAAGGAATGCCGCAAATCTCAATGTGTAGGCAATATTTGTATATTAAGTACACGAGTACAAACATTTTAAGACATCAGTGGAAGTTTTGTAGGCTTGCTATATTTGCTTGCTTTCAGAAATCTTGCCGGGGGACATTTTTGGGTTGTTTTACCGTATAATTTTGCTTAAAATGGGTAAAATATATATTCTTTTTTCTTGCCGTTTCTTTAGCTCAATTATTGCAGTGCACATATGCTGGCCTAGGTTTTGCACTCGGTTCCGCTTAGATTACTTTCGGACATGATTAACCGCCGATCAATTTCACGCAATCAATCGATTAATACACTATGCCCATCCGGACTCTGAATGCAAATGATGGATTTAGAGGTGATTTTACGATGGCACGGAATAATGATGACGAATCCTTTTCTCTTCTCCTTTTGTCCTTTGTCCTAGGATGCTGTGCGGCTGAGAGGGCAAACTGCGCCACCTAGGCTCTGTGCCTAGTTGACGCATTGAGAATTGACTGGAGCCGCGCTGGATGGAGGCCAAAGACGCTGGATGGCGAAGACGAGGAAGCGCACGGTCTTGTGGCTCACTTGTGATGCTTGTTGTCTTTCTGTCACGCGCCGAACGATGGCCAAAAGAATCCGGATAGACAGTCAAGGCTAAAGAAAAACACTGCATGTAAAAATTGCTTTCTCGATTGTCGGCCTCCGAAAGACACGAAGCTCTCTTTCCTTTCTCCTGTTGCGTTGGATGCATATGCATTAGCTTGTAGACGCTAACCATCATGGCCACGTGTCACAACAAAGCCCCCTGGTTATTGTTTTTAGTTCATTTGGTGCTAACAGGGAGAGCGTTGGAATATGAAGGCATTCCGGGTCAGTGGACGCGCTATGGACAGTGGGACGCCAAGGCGACGGCGGAACTCAGCTTCATCCTGAAGACGAATATCAGCAAAGCTCTGGTGCTCTACCTAGACGATGGCGGCGACTGCGACTTCCTGGAGCTCCTCGTAGCTGACGGGAGACTGCAGCTGCGCTTCGCCATCCACTGCGCCGAGCCGGCCTCCCTCCACACGGAGACGCGCGTCAACGACCTGCGCTGGCACCGGGTTCTCCTCTCGCGGCACTACCGAGAGACCAAGCTTCTGGTGGACAATGAGGAGAAGGCGGCCGAGGTCAAGTCCAAGAGGAAAGAGATGGTGGTGGCCAGTGACCTCTACGTGGGCGGGATCTCGCCCGACGTGCGCCTCTCCGCCCTGACGTCCAGCACCGTCAAATATGAGCCGCCGTTCGAAGGCCTGATCGCGAATTTGAAAGTGGGGGAAGCTCTGCCCGTGCTCTTGGACGGCCAATCCGTCCACAGCGACATGGACTACATCTGCGATGCGCACTCGCCGTGCAATAACGGAGGCCTGTGCTCCGTCAGCCAGGGGGAGGTCCTGTGTGACTGCATCAACACCAGCTACGTGGGGAGCTACTGCCACGAAGGTGAGGCAAATGGCACTTTTTGTTTTCACAAACGCACAACGCCATCGCGCGCCTCGTGAATAATCAACAAAGCAAAACGAGCTGATTGAAGTCAAATATTCGGGAGCGGTCGGGGTGCCGTCACTTATCTTTGCGGGATAACTTCTAATGTGGCAGCAGCTTGATGTCATTTGTTTTCCCTGGAACTACTGCAAAACACCGGTGAGGAAATTAACAGAACGATTTGAAAGCCCACCTTCACTTTAAAGTATACAACAGAAAATTTGCAAACGAAGTCAAGCTTATCTTGAATAACGTGGCCTCCTTGTTTTTAATATATTCTGCGACAAATCAAATGAAGAAAAACAAACCAAAAAAAGAGGATCGGACAGGCGTTTTTTTTTTTTTTTTTTTTTTTAATTCCCCCAATGGAATATTTTATCATGTCATGATAGGAATCATTTTAATATGTCATGGACTGTACATAACAATGGAGAAACAGGACTCCTCTCCCTTTTCCCTCCTTATTTAAAGTGAAATTGTTTTTTTTTCCCTTTGTAATAGAGCGTTTGACTGATTTTTATATCACGCTACCTTTATTTTTAAGCACACATTGGCTTTAAAAGAAAAAAAAAAAACACAAATTTTGTTTGAGGGCAGGAATGGATTAATTGCATGTCCATTCATTTCAATGGAAAACTTTACCTCAACTTAAGAACGTTCCAAGTTACAAATGGGCTCACGGAACCAATTAAGTTCCTAACTTGAGATTCCGCCGTATTTTATTTGGCCCACCGTCACACGTTTACACAGTCCAATATTGTGTCTGCAATATTAACCCAACAAAAAGCATACGCAGCTGTCTTAGTTTGAACTGGAAGCCGCTCGGTATTTGCTCACATACCGCCAGCAAAATAAATATTTCTGTTTTTCTTCCTTTTACAGCAGGTGTCCAGAAAGAAGTAGAAGGTAAGCTTCTGCATTTTACCCTGAGCCTAATGGTAACCATATGTAGTCTTTTTCAAAGGCTTTCATTGCAGCCGCGGCGTGTTTGCTGTTATCGGGTTGTTATTGTCAGTTTGGACTGCAGTTCTGACATCCGACACAATAGGCTGCAAGGACATATATTGTACATGGGAAGTTATTTCTTCTACATATTTATAAAATCAGAACTGTCGAGGTGAATTGTTAGGTCTGTCAAGTCCCTGGGCGTCGCGGCAACATGCAGAGCGTTAGCATGCGCCGCAAAAGAGAAAAAAAAACCTTTTTTGCGCTCTTGCATGCGTTGCTTTTTCCACTTCTCAGCGACTATTTGTTTGCTCGACTTAACTGACATTTAAGCTCCCACTGACTGACTTCTGGGATCATTCATCAATTCCTTCGGTTATTTCGCACAGTGAGACATCCCAGAGAGGTTGCGCTTTCTCCAAAAAAGAAGCCGCGGTGTCATTACTGGCTCGTTATCCCGCAACTTTTGAACAGAACAACCAAGCAGGATGCTTTTTTTCCAAAACATGATGAGCGCACAGAACGTTAACATCAAGTGCACGAAGGAAGATCCGTTCGGTGGCTCGTGAGACGGATACGTCACGTCAGCAAAGTGGCGGCCGACGGACTCTGGGGAGGTGCGCTGAACCGCGGCACGTTATCAATCACGGTTATGCCGCAAACTCCGCAACACCTGCTCTCCAAAATCCATGAATACACGTGCTTGAAAAACTATAAACCACCCTGATGCGCCGTGTGTTCACATGGATCCAACTGGTATCGAATCAGACCTCGGACAAAACACCGCGCGGCATTGTCCTCCGCTTTTGAGTGCGAGCGTGCATATTACAGCCTTTTCACAAATAACCTGTAATCGGCAGTTACTGGCACAAAAGTGGCGTGCGTCTGCTCTTGCAGCAAAAATGCAGCCATTATTAGCTGACATACTGCAAAGAGAGCGCATCAGAACGTTTATTGGATTAAAGCTTGACATGGAGACAATCCAAGCATAAAAACAACACTGACAAGAAAATAGCACTCCGTCGATGACTTTTTATTTTTTTGCCCCCTGTGCAGCAGCAAGTCATTTTTCCATCAAACCCCGCCCCCCTCCCACCTCCTCGGCCAAGATGGCCGCCCATATGCTTCATGCAATCTTGACTGCGGGTTTGAAGTGCCGTCGGGAATAATCCCCATTTGCCGGCGGAAACGCTTGGAGGGAACGAAACAGTTTGGCACAGCAGGTGGCTCTTGCCAGTTGTTCGACAGTCTGCGGCACGTGGGATCCCGTTGATCTGTGTGGACAAAGGCCACGCCGGGGCACGCTCTAATGCCAAAAGCATCCTCTGATGTTTTGAGAGCGGGAAAAAAAAAAAAAGCAGGTCTGCGAACGGGAGATAAGCGCAACCACCTCACATCGCACAGGCGGACTGCAGAGGATTCTCTCAAACGTCACGGGACAACCGTTACACAAACACACTAAGTCCGACCGCAAACGCATTGTCGTCGCTTTGTCGAGGTTTTTATGTTTTTTATGGCTTTGTTTACTTTCAGAATTGGATGCACAAGCGCATCGTAATTGCACTCTAGGAACGACAAAGCATGCATTGGCATCCTTAGAAAAAGGACACAGCTGGACTAAGCGGGCTCAGATCTTCCAGTCGCGATGACCTTGGTCTAATCCCTCATTATAGCGCAGTACTTTTTCACGGAAACAAATTTGGTTAATCCGAATGCGGTGGCTCTGTCTTCCAAGTTGGTCCCTCATTATGTCTCAACAATGACTAAATGTTTTTTTTTCCAAGGATACAATTGTATAGATTTGAACACCATTTTCAGCAAGTCTTAAAGATTGTTCCAAACCAAGTGAGATTGAGATTTTCACAATGGTCTCGTTTAGGTTTAACACATCCTTACCCCAAATAGAACTACCTCCCGTTCGCTGCAGCATAGGTTGTGAAAAGGAAATTTAAAAAATAAAAAAATAAATGACTGGAAACTGCCTTTGGAATGCATTTGAAAGTTTGTTCCTCCTTACGGAAAGAGATATGAACTTTAAAAATTCATTGACCACCTTGTTGCAATATTATGACCCCTCTCGCCATCTTAATTGGATCCAACACACGTATGGATCGACAATTCTGCATTCAGACGGACTATAATGCTCAATCCTGACTGACACAATGCTACGTGTTTGATTATTGTCGTCGTAGTTTGCAGAGGAGTACATTAGCACACACCGAGAGATGTTTCTATTTATATTTGGGGTAACCACATTTAGCTACATGACCAATATTCATAATATTAAACACCTCTCTCCATAATTCGAAGACAAGACTCTACCGCTGCTTAGTCCGTCCGTATTCCTAAATACTGCACCTCTCTCTTTGACAACTTCGATGAAAATTGAAAGATTGTCATCGTTAAGGGCAGACTGTTTGGACGCACCGTTGCGTTGGCTCTTTTTATGTTAGACTTCGGCAGACTTCGTCTGTTAGCTGCAAGCCAAATCAAACAACTTGAAATGCCAACATATAAATCACAGTTGCTTCCATTGCTTGCTGTTTTAGTTTCCTTTCCACATAAAAAAAAAAAAAAAAAAGAAAAAAATAGTACAGGAAGAGAGGGAAAGGCGGTTTATGTTCATATATGCTCCTGGGACTCTATCTCTGCTTTGCCACGCTGAGATTTGGCTGTAAGGCTCAGCCAAGTAGGATAAGAATATTCAATGTGCCTCCATGTGATATTTTACTGGGGCAGGAGCGTTGTTTTTTTTTTTTCTCCAATACTACTATAGTCGTCCAAGATTAGCCCGGTCTGTCCCGTGGCATCACATTCTGCCAGTGATGCTTTGACCTTCAGGGGTCAGCCAGTTCGGTGTGCATTGTTCTGACATGCAAGTTGTCCTCACAGCAATTGAAGGAGAAATTGTGCAGAAAGTTCAGCTCTGTGTTGCATTTGATCGAGAGTGACATCTTCCGTTCTGGTCACATATTGTTCCCAAGAGGATACAGGAAGATATTCACAAAGGTTTTGGGGGCGGGGAACTATAAACTCTGCAGGTGAAGGTTAAAAATAGCATCGTTGCCTCATTAAAAAACAAAAAAATCGAACAGAAAAATGCAATTGCTCGTCACGCAATAGGGAGTCATGGCTGTATTTGTCAGTAGATTATTTTACCCCATTTATTAAATTTGACTGACATAAGACAGCAGCACAGTGGGGGTAGAGGTTAGTACAGCTGCCTCACGGTTCTCAGTTGGAATTTTGATTTGGGGCCTTCCTGCAAAAGGATTTCTGTGGCCACTACAGTGAAGCTTTTCACTTCCATAGGTGTGTACCCCCGTCCAGAGTGTACCCTGCCTCTTTCCGAAAAAGTCCACTGGGATAAGCTGCAGCTCACCTTCAGACTCATGTGGAGAAATATTATCCAATGTGGATTGTTGTCACCACCATTTTCCTCTTGACCTTTTTGTCCTTGTTAATGATATCCACATGTACCTACGCATAAAATAAATGAAATGAAAAAAACAAAACAAACAATGCTGAATGGGTGGGTGGGGAAGAGATCGGTTATCCCCTGTGACATTTGTATTATTTTGCCAGTTCTTCACAGCAGCAGCTACTCCAAGTCATGTTGTTGTCATAAGATGCACTGGCAAATATATAACACACAAATTCGCCTTTTTTTCATTTAAGTAACCTCAAATACGTGTCTCCTTTCTGCTCACCGCAACGAGTTCCGTTTTTGTACAAAATGCGACCGGAACGGATTCCAGGAAGGATGGTTGGCTTGCAGTTGTGATACATTTCTGCTCCTCGTTGAAAAGATGTTTTGCGGCTTTGTGCTGCTGGGTGTGTCTTTGTCTCTGCCTTGCCAACAGTTGTGAGGAGTGAGCGCTTAACTGAACACACACACACACACACACACACGCACACCAAGCCCTCCATCCGTTAGTTGAAGGATGACAGACACCTTAAGGTGGTCACGTTTCTTGGCTTCCTGTCCACTTCAATCTCAACACCGCTGGTGACAATGAGATGACCGCAGGCTTGAGGAGAGGATGAAAAGGTGCTCGCGTTGGTGCTGTATGTCAACAACGACGTATTGTTTTGTTGTCGAGAAACCACATCTCCCCCCCACACTGGGAGCGCATGGAGCCGCTCTTCTTGTTTGCGAGGGTTGCTCAAGCAAAATATCATCAGGTGTGTGTGTTTGTGTGCGGTGCTTACCTGCTCCCTTGGGTGACGATGTTCTTAACACACCAAGGCATACTCTGACCCTCATCTTTAAAAAGTTCTCCAGTGAGTGAAATGGATCTTAAGTGGTACATTTTCATTCAGTTTGCCACGCGTGGAGAAATTAAGTGTGACTGCGCGTAGGCGGAATGGTGATAATTACATAAATAACGTGACAGCATTCCAGCACGACACAGTGTAACCCCACCAGCGGTTTAAACGCTGAAGAATGTCATATGACGCAAGTGACTCATTTGTGTTTCCATTGGCACTGTGAAAATGGATGGACTATATTGGTACTCTTCCGCTTTTGAGCGTACGCAATCAACGCATGTTTCTTCAGAGCATCGCACTGAAGCAAACCACTTTAGGAACAGAAGTATTTTGGACTGAAACGCGTTAAGTTGCAGATCATGAAAATTATGACTGGGCTATAAAACGGACCCAAATACATTTAAGTGCTGCACTTTCGCCCATTTGGTACGCTCTTGAAAGCATAGAAACGGCGACGCATTGCTTTAAGCATCCATCTGGACTAAACCATTTGAGGTGTCATTTTAGTCCCGGCAAAAATGCGATGCAGTTAAGAAAACAAAAAACAAAACGAAAAGCTCATCTATCAATTTGGCTCAAATCTCTTTCGATATCATAATCAAAGTATGTTAAAAAAAATGGTCTCGAACGGAGAGATTATGTGGGTTGCCACTTGGTACGCAAAACTTGCTAGTCAAATTGGAACTATGAATGTGTTTGGTTCTCCAATAAAAGGGTGTTTGTTCGAGTTAAAATGACACACATAATATCATATAATATCCAAGCTAGCATTTCTACTTTTTTTTTTTTTTTTAACATGGTACAGATTGAAACTAAAAATATTGGTTTTGGTCCTTTTTGGGTATCCCGCAGTGCCGCATTTGGTACCGCTTAGAACACAGCGATTAGTTACAAATATATATTTATCTATGGCGGGGATGTATAGTAACAGGCAGAACAATGAAATGCGCTTACATTTGATGGCAGCAGAGACAATAAACCTTTGGATCCACCTGTTGGCATTCAGACAAATGAAAAAGCCACAGCTTCCCGTGAGTGCATCCGCATTGTGTCCAATCAAACAAGGACCGGATTTCACACCCAGTTAGCCCATTTGTGAGTAAATTGAAACGACATCATCATTCTTTGAGTATTCATACCTTTTGTGGCATTTTTTTTTTTCGTTTTTGCCAAATGCCTACCCTGGCTCAGTCAAGGTTGGGAAACACCGCGCTTGACAAAAGCGACGCGACGCTTCACAACTTTGGACAATGCGAACGCGGGGGTACGGCGTCCGGTATCGAAGCGAAATTGAAAGCATAATCGTTGATGCCAGTGGGTCGTGCGAGCGACAAAGGCAGCTTGCGGGCGCATCGAAGAGTGCCGATGCAATGAGCGGAGCTGTTTGTGTTGGCTGGCTCAGTGGGGCTCATGTGCTCAGCAGAAGTGTTGTGTTTTGTCATCCCCCCGTCTCCTTGTTGGCACGAAAGGCGGCTGAAGTATGCCACATATACTCCCTGCCAGGCTGCATATTGATTAGCGAGTGTGTGTGTGTGCGCGCACCGGAAATGTAGATGTAGGAGTGAACAACTTGGTGCCTGCTGCTCTTTTCTGCTTTTTTTTTTCTCCCCCCCCCCCCAAGCTGATGTGTTACAAGATGATTGGTGTGTGATGACATCGTATGCGTACTGCAGCAGGACGGCTATTGACTTGGTGCTTTGTACCAAACCTGTAAATCCACGACGCGGCTTGGCAAAATGTGCTTTGTCTGATTCTGAGGATGAATGCCTGAGGATGAATGAGGTCCTGTTCGCCACGCGCCTCGGCGGAGGGTTTAGATAGAAATCCGAAAACACATATAAAAAAAAAATAATAATAATAATATTCATCAGTGTAGATTGTTAATTGGTACATCTCAAACACTGTCTTAACATACGATATGTGTTCCATTTGGGGGAAAAAGCATCTTTGAGAGCAACTACGACGGTGGTTGCACCTATCAAGATGTTATTTTTCTCCTTCCCTCCCACCCCTTTGAGATGTCTGTCTCTTTTTTGCTTTGATTCCCCACCCCGCCCTCCCCTTCTCTCTCTCACCGTTTGAACTCTGACATCCGTGCCTACCCCCCAGGATGTCTGTCACAAACTGCAGTCCAACATTGTGACAATGCTTTTTGTTTTTCCCGATCCTCTTTATGAACTTCCTGTTTTCGTATCCTTTTTTCTGTTCTTTCCCTCAAGGTCTGGCGCACCTGATGTTAAACCGCCAAGGTATGGGGTCTATTGATTTGCTTTTCCCTCCCAGCCACCCAATCACAACACCCCACCGCCACCACCTCTTCGCCCCCGTAGACACCATTTCAGTTAACTGTGCCGCACTAATGTTTCCTCTCCTCTTTTTTTTTTCCTCCCATGTGCGCATATAATTGCTCATTTTTGCTCCCTTTCATGTTATGCTCACGACTCACTCACTTCTTGTCCATCAAACCTTTGTCCTGACCACTGACTGCGCAACTGGAACGTCACCTTTGACCGCCGCAGTCTTAAGCCAAGGTAATGCACCGACGCTCGTGGCGTCTCTTCGGTTTCGCTGAAGGTTTTTTTCAAAGTCAAAAAAAAAAAAAATGTATCTCGGGTCGCAAGAACTCACTGACTCTCTTCCTGGGAAGCTAATGAGAAGAATACATGAATACATTAGGACAATCATTTGCTGTTTTCACATAATTTGCCATTCAAATACAGTTAGTGAGCTTAAATGATGTTACTTTTGATCATAGCTGGGTTGAGAATTATATTCCCCTTTCACGCGGGGTCATTTGCAGCACAAATATTTTGAATAAGAACGTGCGCACAGATATCAAAATGCCGTCATGTATTTCTTGTCATTTGGTCTGTGCGGTCTGTAAAGTGGGATCGCAGATTTCAACACGCAGCACATTTTAGGCAACTCATTGGGTGTGAATTCAGACTCAATAGCAGCTATGACCTATATATTGATGCCTTTTTTAAAAATGTTTTTTGTTGGGGTTTTTTTTTTCTATCGCGTGGGCGTGTACTGAGATCAGTCGTTATCTGCGTCTCCATGGCAATCGTTTTCCATGAAACACAGATGCCTGACTTTGATGACCTACTCCCTCAGTCAAATACACAGCTCCTACCCTCGAGTTTCTCGCTTGCAAAATGTCATTTATTGGAGATGGAACTGATCTCTGCGATATTTTCATGAGGAATTTTTTTTTTTTTTTTTGGTTCTGTCTCATTTCCTTTTTAGCATAACCCACTTTTAAAAATAGAGACAGTGTCGAACTAATAACCCAGTGGGAGTTGTAAGACCCCCTCCAAAAAAAATTCAGACGTTGCACTGTATTGTCTCATTGTACGATATGATTAGATGTAAAATGTAAACTAGCTTAATGTTTTATGTCTTCTGTGAATTATTTCTGTATCTATGAATCACCAATGAAGAGTCTGGAATTATCCAGCCGGGTGATCTCTTGTGCATTTTCTAGGGTAAAAATGTGATTGCATAAACATCTTGTCAAAGTCATTTACAGTAGATGGGAGCCTCTGTAGTCCACAGACTGTTTGTTTTTTTTTTATTGTTATGATTTGGTTGTTTTATTTTTTTCCCCCCAACTCACGATAAAATCTTCCCTGAAGGCCATTGATGAAGATAAGACTCCACTAAGTGCCGCCAATGATGCACCTGCGTAATGATCAACATTAGCACCCGCGTGATAATGTAGTTTATGTCGCATTTCACTATCAAATATTTACCGAGTCATACGATGAGTGGGTCCTAAAGGTCAACCATACTGCGATTTGTCCTGAAATGAGGCCTGAAAATAATTGCTCAATTTCATGCATCAATAAGAAGACATTGTGTAAGATAATTACCCTCCAGGCAATGCTAGCACACTTTTAAATATGAAGCCGAGCACTGTACATCGAACTGGGGGAGAAATATGTGAGACGGAAAAAGTTTGACCGTGGCGTTAAGTCTGATCTCAAACAATGGTTATTAACATTGGCAGTTGTCGAGCTGTTCGCCTGAGGCTTATGCGCACGTGTTTCACTTTGAGCTGGCTTGTTTTTTTTATTTGGCATTAAATTAGCACAAATCAAATAAACAATGTAGCTGCTCCCCTGTGGGTTTACCCGCACGGTCTTCAGATGGTGCTTATTTTTATTTTATTTTTTAAAATTTTTTATGCTGAAGATGATGTTTGAATTCGCAATTGTCACGACGCGTGCACACACATGTGGCCACCTACTTGCTTATGCATTTCCCCCCCGATGGACTCGGTGGTCAGTAGCTGCCCATATGTCCATGCCGCCTGACTTAGGTTGAGAAACTGACAGATTGCCTCCCCCACTAAAGAGTTAAGTCACCACCTGTGCCCAAGCCCCATCTTATGGGCCGCTTTGAATTTGTAAATTGAAGAGTCTCCTCAGACTAACCAATCCGCAGATTGTCATTTCGTATGACTGTGTTGTGCTACGGTCCTCCTTCTCGCCTGTGTTTAATGTGCTTCATGCTGTGACGGTTGTTATGAGTCTAATAATTTCACCTCGCTGCTAATGTAAAGCTTTGAGCGTGGGGGGGGGGGGGGACAACAGTTGTCATTTTAAATACTCAAAAGATCTCGGCGTGGCTTTATTTCGTTTCCGTACACTTCAGCCATTTCAGTCACAAGGGGCACTTTTCTACAACGATCCACAAGGAAACCGAATGTGATCTGGTCCTCTAGGCATTTTAAAAGCAAATAAAACCACAGATGAAACTTTGGTAAGAATCACAAAAACATTCTTATTTCAAATAGTCAGACATATTTATTCATTTGTTACATCCTATTTGTTCATTTATTTCATGCGACCGTCGGCAGATTTGAGCAACCGGACTATCACTGATAGGAAAAGGTTTCGCACCGTTGAGTTAGAGGGAACCCATTCATACCATTTTAGTGTCAGGAGACGGGAAATTGGTCGATGTAGTCGAGAAGGGGATATGAGGAAAGCGGGTCACCGGCATATAAAGCTTGCCATTCATGCCGGTATATATTCTGCTGAGCTTCGTTTTCGGCAGCGCTCCTCCACAATGGTCTAATAGCTGTCGCCAAGGTAAACGGTGATGGATTTGCCCCCGGTGGCAGCAGTTACAAGGTGCTGGATTGCCCCATCAGCATCAAGCGTTTGACTGCAGCCTTGAGCAGCCTTTGCTTAAGAGTTAGTGCCAAAGTCGGAGTGGTGTCAGGGCAAACGCAGCAGCTAGCGGCCTCCGCGGTGCCTCGTCCATATTTTCACTGCAAACAATGAAACGAATCCGAAACAAGAAAGATCTTTCCACACACATATCTCTTCATGTATCGATCGATCGATCTAGTTTTCCGTCTGTGTAGCTATCCATATGATCTAGCTAGCTAGCTAACGCAGCAATGTGCCCTCTTTTAATTCCAGTTTGTCCTCCAACACAACACAGGCAAGAGTGGCAGTTAATTTGACTTGGAAATTGCTTGCAAATATTCTTCCCCAGTCGGCTAAGTAAAAAGAAAAAAAAAAAAAATCCACACCCAATAGCCTCTTTGGAATAGTTAACTAGTGAGTCATGACGTTGTGCCCCCGAGACAAGTCGAATCAAATCAATTGAGGACAAAGCGGTTCAGATAATGGATGGATGGACAGATAGCGCCAATTCACAACAGAAGTTAGCTCAAGACGCTTGACAGATTGAGCAGGTTAAGAAACTCACTCCTCATAGATTATCTACAAATATTTGTATTAAACAAACCGAGCAAACACTTCGCTACAAAGGCAAGAAACGGGATCGGGGGGGTTTAGCAGCATGGGGAGGGACAAGCCAACAATGGACACAACAACAGCTGACAACAATAGTTTGAATATGACAGCAACGATGATGATACTGGTCCCTCGCAAAATACCACCGTCCTGGGACTCACTACTGCCGAAAACTGGCAGAGAGTTGACAGGAATGCAAAGTCAGAGTGACTCAGGAAATTACTCCAAAAACATTTTAAAATGGATTTTAAGATGTCGATAAAGTCATCATAATTTGGTGTTTGACTCTGTGTGAAATACATGTCGCGTATCAGCAAAACTGAATATCTGTGATCTGGTGGGCCATTTGTATGAGTATTGGGCCCGACACCTTCATTTGGGGGCTGACAAGAATCTTTCATTTCCTCTGAATCTGAAATTGTCAACATACCAAAGCGTTTACTGGTATGTGATTATTTTGCCTCTGCATATTTGGTTCTCTGTTTGGTAGAAGCTGACTTTTTTCAAATTGGATGTTGAGATCGACTTACACACTTGCGTTGACATTTCAAAAAAATGTCGCTGATGAAAAAAAGGCAGAAGAGTAATTATCTCTTTTTATTTTGTCAACAAATTGTATGGGGAGGGGGCAAGGGGAGGGGGGTGGACTATTTCATGCTTTTTGCTTGCCTTGTCTTGTCCATAGCGCTCACCACTACAACACATTTCTCACAGTGGCATATAAATCTTTAAACGTAACCTTGGGCTTTCTGTTTTTAGTTGTAGCATTGCAACGCGGTTCTGAGACCGCTAGATTCTATTAGGGTGCGTCTGCAAACACCATACTTGTTTGCAGCTTTGATTTATCTTTGTGGTCTTTAGATAGTGTGCCGTACTGTCTCTGTAGAAGCCACGTTTTAGATTTAGCGCAGGCCCGATGATTGTTAGATTGTTAAACATGTGTCCATCCTTCCGTTCTTAGGCCAGGGGGAGTCGATGGCCACCTTTAAAGGCAACGAGTACTTCAGCTACAACCTCTCTCAGACCCCCATCCAGAGCAGCTTGGATGAGATCACGCTGTCCTTCCGCACGCTGCAAAGGAACGGCCTGCTGCTTCATACGGGGAAGTCGGGAGATTACGTCAACCTGTCGCTGAGGGATGGAGCTCTATGGCTGGTCATCAACTTGGGCTCCGGTGCCTTCGAGGCCCTTGTGGAACCAGCCAGTGGAAAGTTCAATGACGACATCTGGCATGATGTCAGAGTGACCCGCAACCTCCGCCAGGTCTGTTGTACACCTTCACCTAGTTGCATTTTCAATGCGTTGGATGGGAAACAAAATGTCCTGGTCTCATGCTTGAACAGAAATCCCGCAACAGAGTAAAACAATGCGGAGAGATGAAATGAGATGAGTCATGGATGGTGTCGTGCAGGGTGCAGGGTGCGGTCTGCCTTTCGCCCAAAGTCAGCTGGGGTAGGATCCAGCTCTTTGAGACTCTGAACATGATAAATTGTGAGGAAGGGGATGGATCAGACATGTTGAGACTCACCCATTTGTGTTTTTTGTGTGTGTTGTGCCTTTTTACAACAAAAAATAAAACCACACAGAATCCGAGACCGCCTTGCACCGACGGATGGATTATGGCCTGTTAAAAATGGATTTGGCGACATATGGGCCATAATTCGCCCACTTCTGGTATTGAAAGATCTTAGGTAGGCTTCAGACCAGTAAAGGACTCTCGTGTATGGCCCCTTGTTGCAAGGTAGCCGCGATTCATGAAGTACAGTCCTTCGAACCCCTAAGGCCAGTGGGGAGAAATGCTATATGCTAGTCACACCCGCATTCAGGTCAATCACACGCACTTAATTTCAGTCTGTAACACTTGAGCCACATTCTTAAGAGGCTCAGGTAATTGTCACACCTTCAGGAAATATTTTAAGGTAATACAGTTCTCCATCAGTGAATATTCGAGCAAACAAGTGCCACTTCTAATGAATGTTAAATACGTGTTCCCGTGCTCGGCTAGAGATTACCAGCTCATACTAGGTCATTGCCCTCTTTCTCATGAAACAGATTGCTTTGGTTGGAATAATCAACATCTTGTGTTTTTTTTTAATGCACCACAAGATTTCTTTTTACATCCCTACCTGAAAACACAACAATATCCATCCTCTTCACATACAGTCTCTTGTCACCTCTGTTACCTTTAGAAAAATAATCGCCTCACATAGCAAGACGCGGTCTTGAAATTAATTTTTGTCTCTGTGGCGGATGATGCAACATTGCAGCAGTTCCAGAGAGGTCATGCAAGCAACAGCAGGGCTTGTATAATGAATACTGGCAATGCATGCCAAGTACAACTCAACCCTAAGGTTTCATATTCATTTGTACCGTCTAGAGGACAGGGCACGATGCTGAATCCTCCAACTAATTGATAGGATGTGTCTTTTACAGTCGATGTGACCCCATTTTTGGACCGTGGTCAGTCTATTCCCCTACCATACAACCTGATAAAACCCCATAAATTTCCTCCCCAAAAACTGCTAAGATCTAATGGTACACTCACACTAGCTAAACCATCCCGTGCTCAGACACATTTGGCACTATTTTTGTTGACAGCTGCACATGCGCACAGGGACAAGTCTAGTTTCCTGTTTTGGGGAATTTGGCAGACCACGTTTGGGCAGACCGATGGTGTTTTCTATTCCATGACCCCGCAGCACCTAACAATTCAGGTCTGGAGATTGCCCTGTCCAGCATCAGTGACTTCTCACCTCACAAATGAGGCTTGGGATGAATGGACACAAATTCATGTCATTTGCATCTTGGACGATGTTACGATGTCCTATCCGTGCTTTGCGACTATATTTGTTTATTATTCTATCTATCTATCTGTCTATCTGTCTGTCTATCTATCTATCTATCTATCTATCTATCTATCTATCTATCTATCTATCTATCTATCTATCTATCTATCTATCTATAAGATAAGAAAACCTTTATTTGTCCCACACTGAGGAAATTTGCAATATCTATCTCTGTACTGTATGTATATACAGTATTTATACCATATAGATATAGATATATAGATATATATATATATATCTATATATATATATATATATATATAGACACATTTTTTTTTCCTTTTACCTCAGATGTGCTTTTAAAACATCCGCAACGAAAAGGTCTCACTGCAGAATCCCTGTGATCATTTCCGCCACATTGAAACTTTATGGAATTGCGCCTGGCTGATAGCGCTTTATTCATTCCAGGGGAGACATTCAGAGAGGAAGAAATACGGTGTGCAAAATGAAGTGAGCGTTCACCTGCAGCATAATTTTACTAATCTTGGTCTAGTGACGTGAGGTGCATTTCAATGTCGGCGTGCAAAAGAAAGACTCCCGGTGTATCTAATTCATCGGCGGCAGTATATTATGAGCTTGGCCACGTGAATCACAATGTAAACTTGCATTCTCCTCCATACCGGTTGACTTCCCCAGACTTCCACAGGAGAAGAGATTCAATGCACACGGCGTCACTTATGCTTTCAGCCATGCACTTGATCCCTGTGTAAATTGCCTTCGCCTCAGATAAGTTACCTGCCTGACATGTAGATATGGAGAACTTTAACTCCTGGGAGAATGCCGGTGGAAACATTTTATTTGATCCGCCGTTGCATTTCAGGCAAGAATTCCTCCAATTATCGCCTCCCGCCCTCTCTTGTCTCTTCTGTGACTGCGGAGGACAAAATGACTTGATTTCTTTTCTGACCCTTATTAAGAACACTACTGCATAATGATGTGCATGCAAGCACAAGGCACATACTGTACTTTTACATAATATAATACAATAATGTGTTGTTATTTTTTCTGTGGTTTTAATCCGCTCAGTAACTTTTGTGTATCAACAACACTAAATATACAGTAATTTATGTGACCTGGTATAGCAGAATGAGTCAGAAGTCATCCACAAAGAAATCATTATAAACTGCCATTATGGCATGCGTGTGTGTCACTCACCGTAGCAAGCATAGTAGGTTGGGATAGGTTCAAGTTACCCCCGCAAGGAAAATAAATAGATGGGTGATTTTTGTTGTCTGTTTGATTCATATCATGGCATGCTTGGAATATTGCTGACTTTCACCATTACAGACAGTAACAAAGAATGCTATTTGTTTTGTGGAGCCTACTTGAGTGGTTGCAGCCCTTCAATATGTTGAAAAAAAAAAAATTATTTAGTTTTATATATAAAAGGGCACTGAAGTCAGCTGTCGACGGTGTGCAAAGATGCTTCAGTGGTTGCCAGGTATAAACAAGAGTGCCACATTTATCAATTTCGAGACATAAAAGCCTTTTATTTGATGTGCGCCATCAATCAAGCCAAAGCCGAGCCGACCCATTTTCAAAAAGTCAAAGCTAAAGATACTCAAGGTTTTACCACGAGATGGACAAAAAAAAAAAAAATCAATATGTGTCACCACAAGAGAATGGTCGACAGGACCATCACTACTTTGACTTTTATTCTGTAGCTTTCAATGTGAAGGGGGATATCTATGAAAAGACATCCCGTGTGAAATTGTGACCTCGTGGTATGTGTGTTGAGGAAGACCCGCTCGAACCGCTAAGTGTTGCTATCTTGTGAAATGTACCATGGCAAATGATTTTCTTGAAAAAAAGAAGAATGCAAAAGAAAATGCTTTTCAGGAGCTCAAAGAAGTTAAATTGTGATGCCCTGTTTTTCAAGAGGCCCTTCATCATGGCGGCGTCATCTAATCAAAATGATAATTATCCATGAAGAATTGTAAATCAGTCGCTGTAGATCATTAAACCTGAACAGTGCCAGACAGCTTTAATTCATATGGCTGCAGAATCTGCTTCCCTTTACACCATATAAAGGCTGCACTACTTTATAAACTCATAGTCTGCGTTTATAAAATGATTACACTTCCAGCGTGTTTTAAAGTTTGACCTTTCACAGGATGCATTCGTTGTTCCTATCGACGTTTCGAGTTGTAATTGTTTTAATTTTTTGTCAAGTGGCGGGAATGGTTTCCATTTGTGACGAACCTCATGTTACCGGTGGGCTTATTGTCATGGCAACAAGCATATCCTTCTTTTCCCTTACTGCACAGTTTTACAATTCATCTCCTCTGTCTCCTGTGATGTGACTGATACGATGAGATTTTTTTTTTCCCTCTCTGCCAGTGGGCAAAAGCACTAATTAAGCTCACCATTTCAGTATTCTTAAACCCAAATTAATTGAGTTTTCCAACTTGGGCAGCATCCACATTGCTTTCGGTGCCAAACTGCCATTTGAAGAAACCTTTGTGGTGTACTGACTTTACTGCCATCAGAAACGGGAATCAGCAGAGATTAGTGACGCTATCAAGGCTGGTTTTTTTTTTTTTCTGTAATGGCTTCCTAGATCTAAAAGTAAGCCATTATCAGGCAAAGAACCATGTGAATTCTCCCAGCCAGTGAAGAAAACACATCGGCGCTGAATAATGCATATTACAATTAGAAAGATAAGAAAACTGAGTTGGAGATTTAATAAATGTTTTAAGTGTTTGGAATGATAATGGTAGCAAAGAAAGAACATGCATAGTACGTAAACATTCATCCCTCCATTTTATGTGAAAAATCGTTTTTATACGGGGGCGGCAGGGGTCAACTGATTAGCGCGTCCACGGAGGTCCAGGATTTGATTCTGGGCTGCGGCAGGCCTTACTGCGTGGAGTTCGCATGTTTTCCCTGTTCCTGCGTGGGTTTTCCCCAGGTACTCCGGTTTCCTCCCACATTCCAAAAACATGCATTTTAGATTAATGGAACACTCTAAATTGTCCCTAGGTGTGACTGTGTGTGCGAATGGTTGTTTGTCTATGCGTGCCCTGCGATTGGCTGGCAACCAATTGAAGGTGTACCCCGCCTACTGCCCGATGACAGCTGGGATAGGCTCCAGCACGCCCGCTACCCTCGTGAGGATAAGCAACTCGGCTCGGATAATGGATTGTTTTTTTTTTATACATGTATATGGTCACTCTATTGTGAATTTTCACCCATTGCAGAGGGTCTGGAATGTATGAAAAAGAGGGCTTCACTCCATTTCAAGTGCCCCCTTCTCTAAAAGTGAACGAAGCATCAAGTTATGTTCACCGTTCTTCAAAATCGTTTTGTTGTCCTTCCAGGTAACAATCTTGGTGGACGGGATCCTGACCACAACGGGTTACACCCAAGAGGACTACACCATGCTGGGCTCTGACGACCTCTTCTACATCGGAGGCAGCGTGGACACAGCTGAGCTGCCGGGCTCGCCAGTCAGCAACAACTTCATGGGCTGCCTTAAAGACGTGAGTCTTGCTCGACCCTTGCGCACCACCCGAAATACTATCCTGCCCTTTTTAGATGACACCTCCCCCTTCCTGGACGCCAACGGCATGCTACATCATTCGAAAGCCAGCCTTCATATTCATATTGACTGTATTGTTGGAGGGTGTTTCAAGGAGAAGCATTTCACATTTAGAGGCTGCACCATGTGTGTTTCTAGAGTCCTGTGGGAATGCTTTACACACACTGACAGAGAGAGAGAGAGAGAGAGAGAGAGATGCATCAATACAGTATACATAAGTAATGTATCCACCTTCTTCTGTTCACTCCTAGATCTCCTCTCTGGGCTCGTCCTCATTTTTAATCTTTCCATAAAGCCGCGGCCTGCACCTGTCACCTTGATTATCTCCACGGAGCACGTTAACATCGTGTACTTGTGCATTAGATTTATGTCAGGTGTAAAGCGCCACATGATCTTTTAATGCCCACTTTCAGCGGCGCCGTACAAATTTTTAACGGGAAGCGCAGTCGCGTAAAAAAAAAAAAAAAAAAAAATCGAAGGAGCCAACATTTGTAAGGGAAGGAAAAGCACCACAAATTTTTAACGGGAAGCGCAGTCGCGTAAAAAAAAAAAAAAAAAAAATCGAATGAGACCACATTTGTAAGTGAAGGAGAAGCATCAACTCCCAATTCAAATCAGTGAATGCACATTCTATTCAGATCCCTTTTTTGCCAACATGGCAATAAAGTTTTTGGGGGTTTTTTTGACACCGTCCTCACTTCCCAGCGAATCATTCTGCCTAAAACAAACAGCTAATCCGAATTATAGGCCGCACAGAATTCACCCAGTAAATAAAGTGGAGAGACTAAAAACGAGCAACAGCGTATTTGACTGAGAGCTTGGCAGATATTCATGTTGTATTGTTAAAATCAGACTGGAGGCTTATTATGTGCCAAAGCTAGCGCAAAGCTTTATAGCTGTGAGAGATTTGACTCGTTTTGTGTACGTTTTCCTATTCAAAAAAATACAAATAAAAAAAAAAAATAGAAGCAGCAGCATAGTTTGGCGCCACTTTATTCGTTTGGCGAATCAAGTCAAATATTGGCAGCAACTTTAATTGACAAAACCTCATGCCAGCTAATACTGAGCTAGCACTGTGCACTCCCAGCCATTTGCCACAATGGGCCCGATACACTCAAAAACCTGCGTAAACTCTTAACGACTGTTGACCAGTTGACTTGAGTGCTCTGCATGGACGTTTAAAGCCAGAACTTCACTCATCGCTACTCTCACGTTTTGAGTATCTCATTCAATTCATCCGTCTGTAGAAACGTCCGGCCATCACGGTGACGCAGTTTTCATTTGCTTGTATTTGTTTCCTTGCCTGTCCGACATGAAACTGCTCCGCGGCGCCCAAAAAAAGCTTTAGGACTGCTGAAGTGTGCTTTAAAAAATATATATCGGTGACTCCTTCGATTAATCGACATCGACTTGACTTTCATCGCATTGTAACAAAAAAAAATCTTGAGTCGCTCAACTCCTCCGACTGAGTCATGCCTGCATTCTGCTGCATCATGCTGCTATCTAAGCTGACTAGAATGAGAACATTTACGATGACTAACTCGTCAATGTCTTTCTGTTTAATGAGATCAGGAAATATGGTTGACCCGACAGCGGTCAGCGCTATTCACTTTAAATATCAGTTAAATAGCTACAAGACAGGGGCCACATATTCGAAACCGTCTCGTTCACCGCTGCACACTATTAATGATAAAAATACTCTTAAATGAACCTCTCTCGTGTCTCAAACTAAGCGTTGTCACTTTTGCAAATGCTGGTTGTTGATACGGCGCAGCTAATTCGGGTGTGCCTAATTAAATGTCCCATGAATGCGCGCTATTCCTCCTTTAAAATTCTTCAGCTTCTCCCTAATGCCAATTTAATAGCGCAAGTCTGATTTGCTACAATTCAAATGCTGGCATCGTTTTCAAATGAGGGTATAACATCTCATTTTCAAGCGCAGGCGCTAGATGATTTGCTCCCCGTATTTACTCTGCGGCGTGAAGGCGCTGAAATGAAGATGAGATGTTATTTATGGGCAGGTTATTGTGCCGGCATTACTGCAACCTCCGCTTTGTGGGCGGCATGGCTGGTGGTGGTGTTCGGGGGCCCGCGCTGCTGATGTGCCAAAGTAGAACGTATTGAAGGCACGCTGGCAGGATGCGATGTGCACCACAGCCGTGAAGATGGGATGACAAACAGGAATGGTGGAATGGTGGTGGGGAAGGAAGGATGGGAGGGGGCACTAATGAGGCCGAGTGGTGGACGAGGCAAAGCTGATCAAATGGGATCAGCCCGCCAGGAAACGCTGAGGCGAGGTTCAGAGACGGGTCAGTCCAGCCCGCAGCTTTGCAAGTAGACCGATAGGGCTGCGTGCTGTGAGCAGAGAATCGACACATTTACATCCTTTCTTAATCCCGGTGGGAACTAAAGGTAAAGCGCAGACACAAATGTTGTTGTACAAATCCACGGAGGACATTGATTTCGGCGGGGATAAATATCTCGGGTCATCGAAAAGACAGAGCAATGTCCCACGATGGATGTCTTTGGAGATGATAATAGAGGCCATCGGGTTCATCTCCTCCAAGGGAAAATAAACGCCACTTGGAGACAAATGCGTCAAGAAAAGCACCGAGCAAATGCAGACGCATTTATCTGCTAGGTCACCATCTGAGAGGGCAATGCTACACCAGGAGAATCCAACATTGCGTCATTAGCCTCCATTTATCTCATGTTTCAACCTTTAAAGGATATTTGTTGCCAAATATCCTTCTGGTCCGAATAATCAGATTCAGCTTTTGCCTCCCAATAACAGCTCTAAAAAAAAAAAAAATCAAAATCACTATGAATAATTGACATAATTGATTTAATTGTGTACTTGAATGCAGCCAAAAGGTCTGACATTTTTTTCTTCTTTTTTGGTCATGGAGTGACACATTTGATTCGGTGGCCTGTTAATGGCATCCTTTCCACTTTCCACCCACTGGTTGAGCGCATAATTTTCTCCGCCGCACACGATCATATTTCAACTCTAATACACTTTAGTCACCGGTACGGTAGTTTATTTGTATAACAATGCATAATTTGCCATGACTGACTGTTCTCATGAGAATTTAGTGGAACTTTTGTTCAGAATATAATGCGGTTGACGCAAAGAGAAAATGACTTTCGGCATCTATAAATGAACGTTGATACTATCGAACCATTTTGGCTTCTGCGTCTAGCGACTCGTCTAGTAGACTCGTGGTTAGCATGTGTGCCTCACAGTCCAGAGGTCCCCGGGTTCAAGTCCAGGGTCAGCTGGGCTCGGCTACATTTCATCTGGGACCCTAATCAGGAAATGATTAAACTGACAAGCTTCTGGCAGCTTTCCGCAGAACTACTTAATAATTTAGTCAGATTTGTTAGCATAATACTTTCCAATTTTTTCACTTTTATTGAGATTAAAAAATAATAATTATTAATATTCTCTCTCTCGGTCATATAATGGAAACTATGCCATTCGAGGGTTTGAATTTTTGCCAAGCTTACAAAGCTTCTAAATATTGGACAATTATTTTTTCGGAGTAACATTTCAGCCTAGTTTATTGACATTGTAAGGTAAAAGAAGCACACATAATAGCTGTTGTCAATGCCTGCGACATATACTTCAAATTGTATGCACCTTGAAACAGAACTGTCAAGAGCCGATACATACGGTGTTTCGACACCAGGGCTGACTTTGACATTGACTTGACCTTGCGTGTATGTCGCAACCTTTTACTTCGGTTGAAATTCTAATAGTAAGACCGATTTTAATAGTAAGACTGACCCGGAGCTGCTCTAGTGATAAATGACCGATGTGTTCTCATTAAAAAAAAAAAAAAAAGAAGTTCGGCTTTCACTCTTTTTCAAATGGTCAGTTTCACCATCTGATTTCAGTGCTTAATTAGTCACAGCGAAGCAGTGCGAAGTGTGATATTGGCTCATATCCCCTTTGAGCCGGCCTGTAAGTCCTGTGTGCAGTGTGGTGTGTCACCTCCGGCGCTGACTGGTGGCACAGTGATGTGGCAGATAACACATCGGGCTGCGGGTGAAATGAGACAAGCTTTATTTTCTTTTTTTGTGTCCTGCTGTGCATATTGATGAGGGCAAACCACAATAGAATAACAACATGAGGGGAAGTCATACAGATGCCGTTGAAGTAATGCGCACTTTCATCGGGAATATGTTATTAAATTGACTTGAATTTGACTCACATCACAGTGTATTTGGGAATATATTGGTATGCTGTCAGTACTTGTTCAGAGTATGAATAAAGATAAATTTGTGGTTGGCACATTTGAGTACATCAGCTACGTTCTTGCGCATGAGCTCCACCATGCTTTTACATGCTTGCACTGTATTTGTTTAGTGCATGTTGAATTGTGACGATCCTCGTGGGTAATTCCTGCTACCTTCTGCAGTGACCAGACTTGGTCACTCTGCCTTAACAACCCATTTACTCCCCAGTTAAAGTTAACTGTCAACCTAAACAGAAAACAAAGCCAATTTCATTGAACAATGCAATTGTGCAAAATGCCCCGACAGACAGCTTCGCGAACAGCGTCGATGTTGCGACGCCTTGCGTCTTGAAGCAACAGATGTTTGAGCACAGTTGGTACATCAACACAGAAGAGATCACATTTCTCATCTGCATATATTCTTTATCATCTGTGAAGAGACCATTGTTACTGCACCTTACTGACTCAATTCGTTGTGAAACTCTTATTTGTTTGCGTCTGTATGTCTGTATTCTGTTGTTCCGTAGTGGGCAAGATGGGCACTGCAGAAGGAGCACAATTTTCGGCAGGAATTACTCAAGGGCATTCACAGTCATTTCAATAGGGCAAGATGATTTGAGATACACGGTAACAAAAAATATATATATATATATATATATATATATATATGTAATTATTGAGGGCCAAAGCAGTCATTTAAATTGAAACAAATTTCAAATCAAAATTTGCTGAATTTTTAAGATGGTGGACAACAGTTCTGTAAACACTTATTCCTTTTAGCAAAACGTCATTTTATTTTAGCCCTTGAAATTTCAGCCAATTTTTTTGTTGTTGTTGTTTTGTTTTGTTTTTTTTGTTTACAGTGAAAGCATGGTCTCGAACAAGTTAAGTCAAGCAAGGCACCACTGTAGATGCTTTTTTGTGACATTTTTTTGTTTGGTGTTATGGGATTTTTGTAGCATAAAATGATGTGCCTTGGCTCAATAAATGTTGGCAAAGACTGCACTATACTGTGTAATGTAAGTAGTGCCTCGATTGACCTATCGGATTTTTCTTATTGCTTGGTTTTGGTTTCGCTTTGAGCGAGGTAAAAATACAGTTTGCATGCGATCCTTGTGATTATAGGCTTGCGTGTGTTGCTTTCATGGCTTCATTTATTAATGAGTCATATCCCAACTTTTGGGCTGGGCAAATTGCCTTGCGCAGCTGTCACCTCAGCGCGGCATTTCTTTCATTTATCAGGTGGTCTACAAGAATAATGAATTCCGACTGGAGCTGTCACGGCTGGCTGAGCAGCAGGACCCAAAAATAAGTATCCATGGCGACTTGACGTTCAGCTGCGAGAGCGTGGAGGCCCTGGAGCCGGTCACCTTTGACACGCCGTCTGCCTACCTGACACTGCCCAGGTGGAACACAAAAAAGACAGGCACCATATCGCTGGACTTTCGCACCACGGAGCCCAGTGGTCTGCTGCTGTTCAGCCACGGCAGCCTGCTGGGGGCGGCGCCTGAGAGCAAACCCCGGGCCGACTTTTTTGCCATCGAGCTGCTGGATGGTTTCCTCTACCTGGTCATGGACATGGGCTCCGGCAGCATCAAAATGAAAGCCAGCAGCAAGCGGCTTGATGATGGCCAGTGGTGCCATGTGGATTTTCAAAGAAAAGGGCGCAATGGTAAGGGCAAAAATAAATAAATAAAAAATACAAATAATAATAATGTGGATGTGAGGAGGCAGGGGAAGCTCTCTGTCTGCTTCTGTTACTGTGTTTCTCTGCTCTTAGCGGGCCACATACAAAGATTTCCAAGCTGTGAAGTCACCATATGCCAGCTCGGATACAGTCACCGCGCCGTGCCCTTGCCATTTTTTTCAACACTGCAGTGAAACGTGCATGCATATGCAGTGGGATTTTTAATTACGCTGATATTTTTAGCCGCCATCATCTATGCGGAACATTTTTTTTTTTTTTCCTTTGTGAAATCATTTCACAAATTGCCAATTTAACAGTTGCCCATATTGAACGGGATTGTGCTGTTGGTACATTCCCTATCATGTCTTATTAGTATATCACAAAGTTATTTCCTACATACAACATCAGGACACCTGCAGGAATCGAATTAGATCCAATCCAAAGTAGCCAAAAGTGTGTATCCACACACACAAGGTTTTCTCAATTTCAGCCTTTCGGGTGACATTTGACGGAGAGATTAGTTATTTTCCGATGCCCAAACAGGCTCAGATCATGATGGAACTCAGTTTGACATGATAACTTGATGCCAGCTGAACCAGCATCCGCATAGGAAATGTTATTTAAATCGAATGCGATTGGGTGGAGTCAATGTTTCTTGTTTGTGGATGTGCGGCCTGTCGTCAAAAATCAATGTCAATCTCCTTGAATGAATCCCAACTCAGGATGAAAATGTACTCTTCCTGGCATGGGTAATAAGGTAACCCTGTAAAAAGTGAGTCTCAACAGCAAAAATACTGCCCATTGCTCTCACACAGCGGTGATTCCCGACATATGGCGTGGCATTGAGAGTTCATCTGGTGTACCGCTGGGTATTATTATTTCACTTAATTAGGGTGAAAATTTTTATTTACTGTCAATAATTTCTTTGTTCATCTATCTAGACCAGCAACATGTAGTGACGGGCTTCCACTGTCTCCAGTATCTTGTTTTTTATATGTCACATGATCCATTTATTCCTTCCTGTTTCCAATTCAGTCCAAAGCTATCGCTACAGATTCTTCACATCCAACAACACAATTCAATGTGATGCCTCTTGAGGCCTGGCGGAACAGTTTCTTTATTTACACTTGAGAAAAAAAAGAGCAAAGACGAGTGCCCGCTTCCTCAATCCCACGTTTCTTCCTTGCGTGGCGCAGCCCACACACACCTGTCGTTATTTCCCTCATGTAAAACGTTGCATAAGTGCACGTTGACTCACTCGCTGTGCTTCCGTCCGTCCCCGCAGGCTTTATTTCGGTAAACAGCAAAAGCATCCCGTTTTCGGCCAACGAGGGCAGCGAGATCCTTGACCTCGACGGGGACATGTATCTGGGCGGTCTTCCCGACGACCGCCATGGTCTCATCCTCCCTCCGGAGGTGTGGAGCGCCTCTCTGGGCCTGGGCTACGTGGGCTGCGTGCGGGACCTCTTCATTGACGGCCAGAGTCGCAACCTGTGGAGGCTGAGCGAGGTTCAGGGCGCCGTCGGTGTCAGCAGCCTGTGCACCAGGGAGACTCATGTGAGGTGCGGCCGAGACACGTGTGCCAACGGGGGCCACTGCAAGGAGGGCTGGAACCGACACATTTGCGACTGTAATGGCACCGGCTACCTGGGGCCCAACTGTGAGAAAGGTATGAGCCTCAGGCAGGGAATGGATAGATGAATAAGTGAGCAAAAAAAAAATAAATAAATACCACTGCAAAGCTTTTCGCGCACTGTGAACCGTATTTTATTCAGCACCCGGCTGGAAAGTGACATGAAATAAATATGCGCAGAAAAAAAAAAAAAAAAAGCTCATCCCTTACACCCAGACCTCTCAAAGAGTAATACATTTCCACTAACGGTGAAACAATCTATATCCCGGTAATGAGCCCCATAACTCACTTGATTTCTGGTCAGTTGATCATGTGGAAGAGGCGAGTGGTGGCCAAGTGGTGAGCCTGCCTTCCTCACATCTCTGTGGTTCCTATTTTTTTTTTTGTCTGGTGAGCCGATCTTCACCTATTTGCTGTGGTGGTGGGGGTGTGGGAGGACATCAACTCACATTTTTTTATGCACTCTAAGAGCTCCAAGATGACAATGAAGCCTTGGAGAGGTGTGAAGGAAAAATGTTTGAGTTGATTCATCTTTGTAGCTACATTATGTCAGGGATGAGCTAAGTTTAGCCTGGGTTGTTAGTTGGAGGTACAGAGAGTCTTGGCCACATGCATTTTTTTTTTTTTTTTTAATCAAGTTGTAAGTCATTTATTTTTAAGGATGAGTTTGACATGATATTCATGTTTTGGAATAACAGTTTGTGGTATAGCTATGTTTATGTATGTGGATATATATATATATATATATATATATTTTTTTTTAATTGCATTCGACATTAATTTTAATTGCAAAGTTAACACCAGGTTTTCTGGATCGGAACTTGTCAAGCCCCAATCAATGGACTGAATGCCTCTCTGATAGCTACAATGCACCTCCCTAATCCATATACTCCATTATAGTCTATAAGTAAATCAGCATGCACGACGCAGTCCAGGCGACGGAAAAAAAGACAGATTCTAGGCATCACAGCCATTTATTGTACAAGCAAATAGCAGTGACGTGCCAGTCGGAGAAAAGTGTGTTCACAAATGATCAGTATCAGGATGTTGCCAGGACTGCGATTGTTATTTTCGGGGAGCAGCGTCGCTGCAAGAATCACTTTTCATTCGCATGCAGATAGTTTTCTCACAAGAGAGGTTCAATGACAGCGAGTCGTATTGTGGCATGGATGGAAAATCTCTCCCACTCGCTCCGTCACCTTGTGTCGCTTGGAATGTGTCATAAATCGGATTTGGTGCCGCATTAGCAGCCACCGTTTTACAAAAAATGCTCTAGGCTTTTTCTGCCATCTGCTGCATAAAATGAAAACTGCAACGTCCAATTTAGATCACGGAGTGACACGGATCAGGGTTCGTGCGAGTGCTGGAAATATGAATATTATAAATTCATGTTTTATTTTAGGGGTTGAAAAGTGCAAAATAAATGCTTTCCCTGCAGCGAGGAAGCCTAATTCGGTAACGTGTAGAACAGCTCGGCTGAATGATTTCTCCCAGCCAATCAGCAAAAATGATAAATAAGTGAAGTACTCTGCCATGAAATATGTATTTGAGAATATATATATATAATTTCAGGGCAGCACAGTGGTTTAAGAGTTGTGATCTCCACTGCACAGACGCCACGGTGGTGAGCTACGACGGCAGCATGTACCTGAAGGTGATGCTTCAGAGGACGCTGCACACGGAGGCCGAGGACGTGTCCCTGCGTTTCATGTCCCAGAGGGCCTTTGGGCTGCTGGTGGCCACCACGTCTCAGCAGTCAGCGGACACCCTGCGCGTGGAGCTGGACGCGGGCCGACTCAAGCTGACGGTCAACTTGGGTAATGCCGCGTCAGCAGATACGCCAGCAGATAATGTCTAGGCTGACCTTTTTGCAGGAAGAGTCACTGAGCCAGTGATCTCTTGATATTAGTCTGCCTTCACTCTCTCCCATACCATCCTGGTACTGTACAACCGCTGTTGCTTTTAAAGAGATGCACGTCCCTTGATTCGCTTGTTTTAGATTTACTTCAATTCAAACCAAACATTTCTTTGGGAGTAACTGTTGATAGAAATCACTGTTTTCATAACTTAATCTAAAAACTAGCAGCTAGACGTCACTTAATCTCAGTTGCTTGAACAACAAAAGATGAGTTCTGGGCATCTTCCTTTGGACACTGCGTTCATATTTTAGCCAACCGGGAGGTGGGCGCATCCGAAGGGGTTCCTGTTAGGACTGAAAAATTGCACTTGCGTGAAGGCAAAGATATGATGTCACCGCGATGAGAGCCCGAGGGGGAAAACAACTGAGGATTTTCATGCTGGTTCATACATCAAAGCCTGCCTTGGCAAATCTCAGATAGCATGCCCAACTCGTGTCTGTGGGTAGGACTGGCAGCGGAGCGTTCTGATTGGATGGTTAGCTTTTAGACGATTCTGTGACATCATCAGTGCATTCTTTCATTTTATGTCCATAGGATTAGGTCGAAGGTTGGGGCCGAGCAATTGTAACAAAAAGATCAACAATCTATGTTTTATTATTTCAAAATTATTCTGATTAATAATAATAATAATTGCCCTGCGAGTGATTGTTTGCTTATTCTAGAAGTGTAAAACCTCTATCTCCTCGGTTGATTTTGATATGTAGCATTTGTGACGCCGGTCCTGGAACATTTCTGACACCCTTCATGTATAAAGCATGGGCTGTCCCCATAAAGTCAATCTAAATAATATAACATATCAACACGGGGAACATGTTGAGACGAAAGCACTTCTAATGTTGTGAATAAGGATTGCGATTGTAGTTAATTGTTTAACATAAGGGATTGTTGCCTTTTTAAGCAACGGTGGTCTTTTCTCTTTCTGTCTCTCGCTTCTGTCTCTCGGTTCATGCAGTGGTCAGGTCCCACCCGACCGGCTGTCTCTCAGCTCTTTCAGCCCTTCAATGGCTTGTCTGCAGTTCAAGGAGAAGGCAGTCAGAGACCACATTCATCACAACGCTCACACATAACACTTGGAAGCACGCATGCGACCATTTTACAACACGGCCCCTCACTGGGGCCTGTCTCGTTTGGAGTCACTTCATTGAGGTCGGGGGGTGTCAACGATGTACACGCACACAAAACATATATACACACGCGCACACACACACAGACAGTGCACACAAAGTGAAACACTGTGGTCTCCGGCTTTCTGCATCCACTGCTCTGTGATGGTTGACAGCTCGAGAGCACTCCTCAGCCACGTGATGTCACATAGTCATGCGCTCCGGCTGCAATGACTTCATAATTCACAGCATGCAAAAATTAGTGAGTGGGTCTATTTCCAGCCCAACGCTGGGGGGAGTATATATCGTATTTAGAAGGCTGTGCTTCTAGGCTCGGGCAAATGGCAGGTGACTTTTTTTTTTTTTTTTGGACAAATGAATCGTGGCTGTGGATTGTGCAAATCGCCTCTTTCCTCGGCATTTAATGTGCAAAATGCATCTCCACCATGCAGCCCTGCACAACAAGCAAGGAGACATCTCAGTTCACTGGAGTGCCAGAGGAAATCAAGGAGGAGCTCAGTCTGCCTGATTTAAAAAATAATAATAATAATGATAATAATAACTAAGACCATTAATATGGGCAATATCAAAATAACTAAGACCATTAATATGGGCAATATCAACTATGACAAAGACCTTTGAAATGCCCTGGAAAAATATGGCAAAATTAGTCACATCTCCACAATTTAATAAGATTCAAAGCAAGAGAGTTTTTGATTGATAGAAAGATTCATTGATTGATTGAAACAGCTCTTGTGTTGGCTCTCATTGTGTCGTGTAAGTGTACTTAATGAATTGCCCCTTGAGTCTATGTGAAGGACGGGTCAATATTAAACCACATGACACCGCAAAGGGCAACACGCAGCTTCCCTGTTAACTCGAGGCGGCAACGGAGACTTTCATCTGGTTCTGATTGAGGCTTTTTTTTATCCACCCCATACATTGTGTTCGCCAAGATGTACACGTTCTCCACTGCAGCACACACCAAAGCAGGCATCGTCATGGTAACTGCAATTCACTCGCCCGATGCTGAATCTAAGTCGCCCGTGCACTCACGCAGCCCCGGCTGGACTTCTTTTTCCACGCCGACTACAGAGCTCATTGATTGACTCCATTCTATGGCCAGCACACGCTGAGATGTTTCCTTTCACTCACGGTTCGCCCCTCTTAATGCCGTTTGCACAGCGGGGAGGAAAGTGGCGCTTTGACTCTCGAGGCTGTCCCCGGATGGTGGGCTCTGAGAAGCACTGACGTGTCTGCAGAATGTACCTTGAAGGATGTGAAATATTCTCTCCCCTCTTTTTTTTTCCCCTTCTTTTAATCTCACCATCTCACTCTCTCTCTCACCAGATTGTATCAGGATAGACTGTAATCTCAGTAAGTGTCTCCTACCATTATCTATTATTGTGATTGAATAGAAAAAAAACATGCACTTTGATGTATTCATACGGCTCACCGCTGTCACATAAAGCAAACATTATTATTGTGTCCGGCAGTATATTCTGCTCACGATCGGGTGTACTGTATATAGAAGGTAGGCAGTTGCACTTGCACAGTAAAAAAAAAAAAAAAAAGTATGAGGGCTATGCCCCCAAAAAAATAATAATTTGAGAAAAGATCATGATGAGTGACATCCAACAATGTTTATTTTTCTAGTTACTTTGCATTGGTGTTAAACTGCACTGCATCTTACTGTAAAGTATCACAATTATTTGAAACATCTCTTCATATTTGGGGTAAGTAGATGAAGGTCATTTGTGATATAAAATGTTTGAAAACAGTTGATCATAGGATACATTTATTCACCAAAAAAATAAATTATGCATTTTAATTAACCAATTTTAGGCAACAGATTTGACAGGACTTTTGTTCATGTGCCGTTAAAAGCTAGCAGTTAGCAGCTCCGCGCACTACAATACTCCATACATTAAAATGTTACATTTATTCAGACCTATGAGGGAAGAACAACAGAATTTTATTTTTCCATCAATCCAAAATCATTTCTTTCTGGTTTTAGTGTGCGGGTGCACCTCATGATGTGCCTGTTTGTGTCGTTGTGTTGCATTCCTCTAAATTTGGGTGCCGTTGAAAAGTATTTGCCTTTAAATTCTTCTCTTTTTGCATATTGTTGCCCCATATAAATGTTTAAGATTATCTAACACATCAGCCAAAGATAACCCAAGTGAGCAATAACATGCACTCTTTAAATTGTATTTTTTATTTATTTATTATTTATTTTTACTGAGGCGAAAAACAATATTCAAAGCTACTGGGCCCAATGAATGGTTTTTATTTTCCTTCTTTTCCACCGCACTGTATATTTCTCCTGTGGCTCCTCAATGCAGTCTAACAAGCACCGTCATCGAATCGAGCCACATTTTGGCACTTGATGCAGCCCTGTGGCTAATTAGTTCTCCATTACTGATGCCTGCCGATAATCGCTGCAGTAAACAGCATTTATCTTTGGTGAGACAAAAGCGCGACTCATCCGCGGTTTAGACGTGCAGCCATGTCACTAATCCCACTTGAGCGGTGGAGCGAAGATTATTTTTTTTTTCTTTGCTCTGCTATCCGATCGATAGATGAGTATATGAGACAAATTTATCAGGAGGATCAGGAAGGGAGATAGCGGTGCTTGCCAGCTGCCAAGTCGTACCCGTTAGAGTGAGTGGGTTGTTTTTTTTTTTTTTGGTGGGGGGAGGGGGCGGTCTACTTATAGCTGCTTAAATCATCGCAGAAGCCTATTATGCAAATCCGAATGAATCGCTGTTTAAATCTAGCCAGTCACCCTGCATCACCAGAAACTCATTAGCCTGCTTTAATGCACGATGATGCTAGAAACGGCTGCCTGTTTCATCACCAGTATTAATTGTTAAAGACAATGTGACGTGCAGGGGGAGGGGGACTACAGAATCGGTGAAACTGAAGAGAAACTACGGACAAAACTAATTCCATTTATCATAGTCTCTGTCTGTAAAAAAAAAAAAAAAAAGAACTTAGTGAAAATTGGCTTGCGGCTCGAGTATGAAAAGAAACACTGTTGGAATATTTAATGAGAATACCTGAGAGACATTTACTTTAATTTGATCGGCTAGACTACACCTTAAAAAAAAAAAAGAAAAGAGATAAAAGCAAGGATCTACGGCAGGGGTCCCCAACCTTTTTTGCCCCACGGACCGGTTTAAGTCAGACATTATTTTCAGGGACCGGCATTTAAGGTGTGGCGGAATTAATACAACAAAATAATATGGTATGAGCTGCATGAAAACTGTGGTGTTTTCGAAATATAATAATAAACACAAGGAACGTCTAATCTGGTCGCAACACTCTTATCGCTCTGGTAATGTTTAATGCCTTCAAAATACGATACAACGCAAATTCAAAGTGCATGAAAATGACGACTCACCACAG